GGAGAGGTCAAACCTTAGGTTAAAACAAAAATTCCTGTAAAATTACAAATAGATTGTACCTATCAGAGAATTTATATAAAAAGGAGACATGAAATGGAACAAAATGCATCACAAGCAATTGGTATTGGCTATGAAAATGAAACAGACAATTATGATATCATAGGTTTTCACTTAATACACAAACTATGCTGGGTTGGTGCATGGTTACGCGGTAAAGGTTATGCTGTTGAATGTCCTGATCATGAGTACTGCACTGCAAACACTAATAGGTATGATCCTTTGAGTGAGAATGATCTGGGGTATGAAATGGGTAAAAAGAAATTGCCAAATTTGATTTACTTGTGGATTATTGTACTACTGATGGGGATGCGAAAATGTACAAGGTTTACAAGAGGCAATGCAAGAAATATTTGATCTTTTATGGCCAGTAATTAAACTTGCAGATACTATACACAGGGGACAAATTAAAGTCAGTTCGGTGAAGTACTCCGAGCTAAATTTAGAGTCAATATGTTCCCTGGAGCTACAAAGGCCCAAACAAATGATATAAAAAAAGCTTTTGCCAATGTTTTAAAATTATGGTCACACGGTATAATGAAATCACTATTCGTAAAATATAATCTGGTAAAAATTCCAAATGTTTGCCTCATGTTGTTAAGTCTGTGGTAAATTGTTATAACTGTAATTGTGGTGATACATGTAGATGGAGCCTAACACTATGTAATAGTGGGAAAAAAACTAGCTGGTGCTTCAAATCTATATCAACCTTAACAGTCAGGGTTTACAAAATAGGTCTTTGAGACCAGCCAAGACAGACAAAATTAAATAGAATCATGTTAGAAATGAAACTTTCTCAGACCGCTTTACATCATATGCATTTTTTCAGCAATACAAACAAGTGTGAGTCCGTCAATAGAACAATTTCTACATACTTACCTAAAAATAAGATTTTTTCACGCAATGCCATAGGTCGTGCATCTGCAGCAGTCTTGAAAGTGAATAGTAAAAAAGCTGTTGCATTGGCTAAGACTTTGAAAGCTGTAGACTGTGCTGTAGGTAAAAATCTCGTGCTGTAGTGGCTCTGAAAAAATACGTAAACAAGAAATATATGATTGTGCGTGTCAAAAAAATTGACGAGTCAAATTTAACAGGTTACATGCTCGCAAAAGGCAGACTATCAATGTCTTGTTAAACAAGAGAGCGCGTAAAAGTGGATATAAAAAAAAAACATCAGTTAGAAACTAAATATGTCAGAATGCAAGTCACAAAGAATTCGTTCCACAGCCATTTTGTAGTTTTAAAAGGTTACTCAATTTGCTTTTTTTTAGCCTTTCAGGAGACAACTGCATTTATTTATTTATTTATTAATATATCTTATTATTAAAAAAAAAAACACACGTTTTCAGAAATTTATGTGCATGTTTTGAGTTAGTTGTATTTTTTATATTAAATAGTTTGTTTAATTTAAACAATTATGAAAATGGGATCATGGTCCAAGACAGTGAACCTTGTATCTGACACAAACGTCATTTCGTATCTCCCAAATGCAATATATACATCCATTCGAAAAGACTTACAACGAAATAAGATAAAATTCAAAATAAAATAAACCAAGTGAAATGAATATTACAACATTTACAGTTTGTAACTTAATGTCATATTTGCAATTATTTTCATTCCGTTTTTCTTTATTTTGTTTTGTTGTCTTACTTTAATATATATTGTATTTTGTTCATTTTTATTTGTCTCTATGTGTCACTTTCATTTAGTTCTTAAAGCATGTTTACTTCATTTGATTGAATGTCCCAATTTTCTTACACAGTGAAATGAAACCATCAAGAGTTACACCCCTTGTACTGTAAATAATGGTAAAACCTGGTAAAACAACACATAAATGTCTGTCCTTGAGCTTATAAACTTGAATAAACATGTTTGCATGTTTGTTTCAGTGTCTCGGAGGTGTGAGGGTGGACTTTACTCCTATTTTCATTTTTTACTTGTGTTAAAAACTCGTATTTTCTCAAATTATTGATTCGAGGTAAAACTTGCAAGGCCTACTTGTACGTTTACTTACATTTCTTCAATTAAAACCATGACAAACCACAATTTTAGATTCAGCATTGAGTTAGTATATGTTGTGCCATGCACAATATGTGTGGTGCATTGTTTTGAAAAAAGTAAAATCACAAAAATACTGAACTCCGAGGAAAATTCAAAAAGGAAAGTCCCTAATCAAATGGCAAAATCAAAAGCTCAAACACATCAAACGAATGGATAACAACTGTCATATTCCTGACTTGGTACAGGCATTAAAGCTATACATATTTTTGCTGGTTGTTAATTTCCAGAGGTTCTAAAACAATATGGTCTCCATTCACACACAATGCATAGTGACAAAGATATGAGGCATCTAAATTTTTGTATAAATCTCTTGTTTTCAACTGCAAATGTTTTGCTAAAACGTGCTACAATTATTTTTGTTCTGTTCAATTTCGGCAAATAACAAGCCCAATTTTCTGCTTCTTCACTGTTTAAAAGCACAAAATTCGTATATTTTTGATGAAATCAAATGTACTGGAAACCATTTTGTATTGTATTTAATTAAATAGCACTAAAAGAGTGTAACTGACGTTGATTTCAGCAGCTATCATCCTAAATGTGTGGTCATTGAACCATGAAATACTCCATCACTTTTGAAATTAAACTTTACACTTTGGGTCAGGATGCGCAATACATAGGCGGCAATGGTAACATTTTATTCTGTTTCTCAGTCCATATCGTTAACTTGAATAAGTATGATGGCTCATATCTAAGCTGAAACATTTATACATGTCTGGTTAAATTTCCGGGATGGCAAGTGAGATTAGTTTTCCCACAAATTGCCGGACCCCGAAAGATGGTGAAAAATATCACTCTCCTCATGAAATATTCCCAAAATTCTGATCATAAAATAAAAAAAAATGTCCTTTCCATTTATTGAAGGCCAAATCTACATATTTCTTTTTTCATCACATCAGCTCTATACAACAGTTCTCATAGTTTAATTATGTCCATTTTTAAAATCACAGCATCCACAATTGTATGGCGGGCTGATATATATATCTTTTTTAATTACGTATTCCTAGTTTCTCGTCTCAACATGCTCAAGGTCCATTAGGGATATCGACCCAGCTGGTCACTGAGAGTACTGGATGTTTTTTTCAATCTTAAACTTACACTAATAAAACAAGAAGGACTAAAACTACGTTTGAAATAATAAAATAAAAAATATGACGTCATATGGACAAAAAACTTTGTTTGAGTTAAATGAGCCATTGGTGAACATATTCAGGACTCATGATTAGACATTTTCGAAAAGTCATCTACACGGACACTTATACCAACACCGATACCTACACTGACTAAAAAAAATAGAGAGACCGCATCAAAATGTCAAAATATACGGAATTAATAACCTTGTAAAACTCTTGGACTCTTTGAAATTTATTATTCTGTAATTGGTTTTATATAAGATTTTACTAGGAATCTGAGCCAGAAAAACCAAGTACTCTCATTAGTTTTGGAATTCTTTAAGTGATGAATTTATTATATTTCAACTGTTTTATTCTAATGGTCGAAGCATACTGATTGATCTTTTAAAAGTAGTAATTTGCAGTTCATGTAGTTTTTTAGGGGAAAATAACACACATATAGGTAATAATCTTATATTAAAAGAGACAATCGGGTACACCTTTTTATGATCAAGCGTGTTTGAGTTGACTGTTTGTCCTGAAAACGTATAAAGCAAGAAATATTTGATACACCATTTCGCTTCAGATTTATTATTTTTATATATTTAGGCTACATTTTGATATAATAACAACAAATTCACAGTACAAAAGCATGAAAGATATAGGTCAAGTGAAATACCTTTCTAATGTGTCATAACATCAGAGTAGTTGTGTTTGAATATCAAAATAAAAGCTTCGTGCTACTTCAAATGTTTAAACTTGGTGCGTATTTTCCACTTTTTTTTTTTACTTTCGTTCACTCATTTTAGTGAAAATGTAGGCATATTACATGTGTAATTATTTATTCATGAAATGTATCAAAAAAAGTCGGACACACCGTTCTCTAACACCACCTTGAAATCATACTAAAAGTCCTTGACGACAAACTTTAGAAGTGGATCTTAAAAATCCATTTCTGAAAAAAATCCTTTTTTAAGTGTTTTATCTAGGGTAAATAGTCGTCAACCTCTGCAAACATTTAGACTGCTCTACCACAAAATAATTTGATAGTTTTTTTAGTGGTTTATTTTTAACTTTCGAAAAGTCCCTCAGACAACCAATCAGACAATAGTTTTCAATTGACAAAAGTACATTAAATGATGCTTTATAGCCGGTAGAAACATTTGTCTTTTAAAATTGCAACTGTCATGTAAGGATCGTAATTATGCCATGTTGATAAATGTCTCGGTTTTCAAGAGCTAAATTGACGGTGCGTCATACATACAATGGCTTCCATTTTCACGATTTAAAAAATTTAGTCGGCGTAATGGGGAATTACTTTTGACAAAATAGAATCCTGACTGTACAGGTTCCTGTTTTTTGTGTAAAATTCTACTTATTTCCACAAAACATCCCCCTTTTTTTTAACAAAGTATAAATAAAGATCGGTCAATTTTAAGCTTTTAAACAGAGCCAATAAATTAAAAAATCATTGAACATAAAAATTTTGTACAGTATCCAAAATGTAAATTACATAAATATGCTATAAGTGTCTGTGACATAGTTGTAAGCGTCAGTATCGATAAGTTTTCGAAAATGTCTATTAGAAGAAGCAATTATATAACCATGAGTCACCTCCAATTTGCATTTGGTTATTGCATTAAAAGAAAGATTACGAAGCACCAGTATTGCAAATATGTAACATCTGTTACATCAATTATTCGGTCCATTTAACAAATTCAAAGGTGATTTGTCTCAACGTTGTGTATAATAATATTCACTTTATTTCAGAAAACAACATTCCAGTAAAGTAAGTGACATATACTTATGTTATTACTATTAACCCTGTTTGTTTGCTTATTATACTTAAGGTAGTAAATAATAAAAAAAATCAAATGATAAAATTTTTCATACGTGAATCAACTGTACTTTGCATAATGCTAATTCAAGTATCAGATAAAGATTTTATTAATAAAAAAAAAGTATAATAAAAATACTGAAATTTAAGGCAAATTCAAAAAAGGGTAAATCCACAAAAAACTGACAAAACCAAACGTTATCAACCAACGGAACGAGTGAAAAACAACTGTCATATTCCTAACTTGGTTCAGGCATTTGAAACTTACTTCCAGCTAAAATGTGCACACAAAAAAAAAAAAACATTCACCCCCCAAAAAAACCATCCATATTATATATTATTTCAGTTTCTATCAAAAAATGAAGTTTCTTTAAATTTAATACGCCTTCTTTCATTCTGTTATGAAGTTTTCTCTTTTAAGTAAGTATCTATACTGGTTATTTGAAATCCAAAGGTCGTCACAATTTGCTACATGTATGTAAATTAAAAGTTGCAACCTAATTTCTGAATTATTAGAGAACAAAAATTCGAAGAAGTTTAGCTTATCATCATCAAATATCTCGCGTAAACTAAGAACATGAACAGATAGAGAAATCCTGGGAAATTTTGCCTGTAAATGCATGTTGTACATAACATACAAAAAAAAAACGGATAAGATAGGCTGAAACGAAAAATTTAATCAAAAAGTACAATGATGCCTTAAAATTTGTATCGTAAGAAGTCAGTCTCTATGGAATGCCAGAGTGAACCCCCCGATTATTATTATTTTTCCCATAAGAAATACATGGAAAAAAAATTAAAATTCCCGCCCCCGCAGATTATTATTAATCGTCGGCATGAAAATTGCAGCTCCCGCAGATTTCCTTTTTAAAAATATTCGCTTTCTTTATTAATGATAATCGCGGCAAACCCTACAGATTTTCAACACATTAGCCGAAGATTATTTCAAGCATCACAAAACCTGTGGCGGCCGCAGATTTTCAACACAAGGCTAAAGAATATTTTTAACCATTCAAAAATCTGTGGCGGCCGCAGATTTGTTACACAAGGCCGATGATTATTTTTATCCAATCAAAATTCATACGTTGCTGCTTCGATTTTTAACAACAAAACAATTAGAGCGGGAATCCTCTAAACCAAAAGCTTACAGCAGTTATCATGTTTGACAAAATGTTTGGTTTTCCTCCAAATTACATGTATACATAAATTACAATTCCAAACGGTAGTCTTTTTATTTACGCGGTGATTGGAATGGTCGAGTCTCCGATATAAAAGATTATATACAAGGAATTGACTTTTTGCCAGAACGTAATGTTGTAGATTTTACACCTAATAGTAACGGCGACTTGTTTTGTGAATTTCTTAGCAACATAAATTAATTATGTGGACAAGTTGATTTATGTACAATTTATCTATTTGATAATATATATATTTGCGCTTTACTTATATCTAGTTACTCTTATTTTATAATGATCTAACTATATTGAACACATGTTATATTATATGGTTCAGTGAATCCAAATACTCCATGTAGGCTCTTTGATTTTTACTCACTACTGGCTATTGGACAAACTGCTTTTCTGAATAGTTGTTTTTTTCTGGTACTGGCTAGTTTGACCTTGTATTTTGACTACATATACTATGATTTTCATCTTTATTGTTAATGCAGAATAAGTTAGACCAGAAGCAACATTATGAGCCGTAGCCAGCAGTATAAGATCTGTCATTCCCTTCTTTCTTATATTTAATAACGTATTTGAACGTTCCGCATTCGAGTCATCAATAGCTTTATTCTACCTGGTCTCATATGGCGTCGTCGACAAACCAGACGGGAATGATTCCTGGCATTCCATCAGACGCATGAGCGGGGTATATACGGAGGAAGCGGAACATTTTTGAAGTTCATGTGGGTGTCAGCGGGCTATCCATGGAGTTAATCGAACTTTGACGAAGTGTATACCAGACCGGAAATCCACGGCGGGAGCCGAAAATTGACGTGTCATCGGGATATGTACGGACCTAACCGAACATTGTTGGAGTTTATACCAGTGACAGCGAGTTTACGATTGAAAAGCGAATACAAAGGAAGATATTAAACAGTGTCGAAACCATTTAACTAATGAAGAACGATGTAGTAATTGTGTTTTTCTCTTTTTTGGAATATATGGGATATTGATAGACTTGATGATATATGTTCAAATGTGTGAATTATTTTGTTCATTCTGGATTATGCGTTTTATGCATACGGTATTATAGTTATGCATTAATTCACTTTTTGTGGAGATTGAGTTGGAGTTATATATTGTGTATTTTTGCAAGTTTTGAATTTGTATATAATTTTCAATAGTTTTGGAAGTTCATAATGGCAAGTAATCCTACGTGTAAGTCTTTACAAAAGCAAGTGAATGAATAGAATAGAATTAATGAAATATCTTTGAAATCTAGTGGTGAAAATGAAGTGAAAAAGGCACCGAATGAAAAGAATGTTGTATACGTGCATAAAGATAGAAAGGTTCCGAAGTTTTCCGGATACAAATTTCCGGTTGAAGATTGGATTAAGATGTTAATACTGTGCTACATTCAAGTGAAATGACCCGTCAAGAACGAGCGGATTTTATAATTTACAGCTTGAAGGTTCTGCTAAAGATGAAGTGAAATACTGTTCTCATCTAGCATGTCTAGTACGACAAAGTCCAGATCAAATTTAAGAAATTTTACAAGATGCCTTTGGTGTGCAGGATAACATTACCGAAGTACAGAAGAATTTTTTGGATCGTGTACAAAAGCCAAATGAATCATTAAAGGGATATTCGTACTCTTTAATGGGTAAAATTACAAATAAAGACTCTACTTGGATGCCAAATAAAGAGAAAACATTATGCGACCAGTTTTCACAAAATGTACAAGACAGTATCTTTCGAAAACATCTGAAACAAATAGTTCGTTCACAACCTCATATGCCTTTTTTTGGATTAACGTGAAGAAGCTAGTATGTGGTCTGATGAATAAGAATATAAGGATAAACAATACACTGCAAGAATAAAAAGTGAAACAACCGTAACTGTACAAGAAGAACCTACAGCTGATGTTTGCACAAGTAAGGATAAAACCGACAGTAGTGAACAATCCGATAATTTTATTCAGTTATTGGGTATTGTCCAGAATGAAACATTAACCAAGATTGTAAATTCAAAGCAACGGTCAACTAATTATAATAGTAGATACAATAGGTTCGAGCCACAACGACGTACACTGTTGTGTTACGGATGTTATAAGCCAGATCATAAGATTACAGACTGTTCATTTGTTAATTCCAAAAAGTCGGAAAACCCGTAGCGTCTACCGTGAAGAGTCCCATTGTAGATTATATTGATACGGACTCAATTCAAGCTGATCGTTTAGTGGGTTAATGTCCAACAGTAAGTGCTTACTTTGCAGGATTTAAAGTTAACTGTTTAGTAGATACTAGTTCAACTGTCGTCACAACAGTTACACAGTCGTTGTATAACCTTTTTCTGAGGAGGTGTACCGAGCTTCAAACTGAAATTACGTTTTATCTAAAACATGTAAAAGGTGCAAATGGAACTTGTATACCGTATATTGGATATATTGAAGTAGATATTGACATTGTGGGGCAACGTTTGCCAAACAGAGGTGTTCTAATTGTGAAAGATCCTATTGACAGTTATACCCGTCAAAAAAAAAGAAAATGCCCCTAGACTTTTTGGAATGAACGTTATTAGCTTGTGTAAAAAACTTTTGCAACAAGATTTCGGGAACCAGTATTCAGAAGAAGTTACCAAAATAGCCGAAAATTTCAAACTTACAGAACCTTTTAAAGTTTGTGACAAAAATACACTGTAATACTATTGGATTTATTAAACTTTGTTCTAATTTACCAGCAACATAAATTGCTGTATTTCAAATGGCCGAAATTTTATAAACAATGACTTTACGTTTGTGTCAACCAGAGGATCATTGTTCGTTGGCTATTGCATAGTACCTTATGAAAAACTGTCATTTATTCAAAACTTAATTAAAAAAAGTCATTGAAGCAAAAGCACTAATTGAAGAAATTGCAGCCGTAGGCTCTTATGACCCGAAACATATACCGGATCACTCTTGGTTATGCTGGACATTTGTCACACCTGGTTATGATGTTCAACAAACCGTGTCCGATCAATTGACCGATAACGGAACTGTTAGATTAGTAAGATTCCAAACGATTGGATGTCTGACTATGAAACAGTTTCCAAACTTAACGCATTTATAACTGACTTGGTGAAATCTGAAATAAACCAATAAAATTTAGACAGTAAATATGAAATTTTCGTTTATATTGTACAAACTGGAATGGGTTTAAAGCTAAATTAACGTCAAATTAATATATATGACGGCAAAAGTAACAAACGGAGACGTATGAATAAACCGTGGTGGAACGACAGCTTAACACTTCTTTGGAACGATGAATGTACAGCCGAACGTGCGTGGCATGATAGTCATAGCGGCTGGAAGAAGGATTTACGCCAAGTATTTGTAGAAAAAACGGAAATTGTGCGACAAAAGCAGTAAGAAAGCAAAACCTTAGTTTTGGTACCACAGTATTCAACAACTTCTAGATACCCAACAACGGGATCCTCGAGAGTTCTGGAAGAAGATTGGTAAAGTCGGCGTTGGAATTGAACGGCAGAAATCTATACCGATGGAAGTGATACAAGACGATGGGAAAAACAGTACAGATACAAACACTGTTTTAAATAAATGGTAAAAACTCTTTTGATAACTTATTAAATTGTAATAATCAAACCATTTACACTGCTGTTAATATAAAATATCTCTGATGATTTTTTAGACAGTTAAATATTGTTTGAAGATGTAGTAAGTGGTGTTGCTAAAAGTAAAACTGGTAAGTCACCAGGTCATCAGTTGTCAGTAGAGTTATTTAGAAATAA